CTTTGTACCCACTTCATAACTGTGTGTTTTTATAGTGGCATGATGAAATGGCAAACTCCACAGCGAACATTCCTGTATGAAGATATATCCTCATTAGGTGGATCTGCTTTGTATTTTTCTTCTCTGCTCAAAGAAATGTTTGCCGTAGCAACCCTAGCAAATGCTTAACAGAGCAATAATTTCTACCATTTCTGTGCAGCATGCACAGTTCTTTATCCTCTCTGCAGCACATGAGCACAAAGTGAAAACGGATGGTGCTGCTGTGCAGACTGCTGGGAGCCGGGGTTGCTTTTGTTTGGAATGCACAGTGGAGCTGAGGGCAAAATCTGGCTCAGGTATTTTTATTACTCACGATACAAGAGAGAAGTAGTGTGATTCTCAAGCCGCAAGCTGAATGTGCATTCAAGGAAGTGATTTGTAGTCAATTATTGCACAGAAAAGAAATAGGAGGAAAAATAGAAATGTCTCATGCTCAGGACAAGTTGGCGGTAGCTGCAAAGAACCACTCTGCTACAGCACATTTAACTGAAAGTTCCACTTCCATTTTGTCCATTAGGAGGTTACACAGAGCTGTTACACACTTGGGGAGTGCAGTATTGCCTTCTCTTATCCCAGGGCTGCATCAAGCTGTCAGTGTGGGAGACATGGCTATAAGCATTAGCTGGAGAGTTTGGGCACATTCCGCCATCATTTACTGCTGCTTTCAGTAGAATTCCTTATCTGGACATCCCTGTTTCTTTGTCTTGTTACAGTTCTCATTATAGGTGGTGCTTTCAATTATTATATAGTGAATTAGTGACAGGTCAGAGAAACTTTCAGTTCCCATTTTCTGAGCCTGCAGGATGCTGGCTTCCAGGGAAGAAAATGTTGTGCCATCAGGTCAGATTGGCACTAAGCTTCAGTTAATTAAATGTGAGTTTTGGAGTGAACAAAGATTGAAAACTGCTTTGGGATGACCGGTTGTGTATTCTGCTGCTCTACTGAGTTGTCATTATTTCTGAGTAGGAGCAGTTCATGCGAGGCAATGAGGCCACTCATTCTGGTATAGTTAATAGCTGCCTGAATAAGGCTTACATTTCCACATTTCCTTTATTAGAACTGATTCCGATTCTTTTCAAGTTCTTCCTTCCTTAAAACTTTTAAATTACTCTTTTTCCTAGAAGCTTAAATTTTAATATTGCCTCACGAATTTGCTACTCCCTGGTAGCAGATTGCACATCACAAGCAGCCTTCCCCAGCAGTCGGGTTTTGGCTTTGTTTGGGGTCACCTGTGTATTGTTTTTAAAAGAGTTTGCAAAAATACAGATGCTAAAAGTGAATTGTTATGAAAAGAAGTTCGGATTAACATTTTAACTGTTTTGTTACTTACGTTTGTCAGTAGGATTAAGTGCTTTTGGTAATTTTATACAAGGTCTGCTACATAAGTAATACCTCCTGTTTTGTTATGTTGGTGTTCGGCAGCAGAGGCTGAACCTTCCCAACAATATTCCACTACGTGTTGCTGCCGTGTGACAGATGGCAGCAGAGGGGCAGTCTGACAGAATGGTGTCTGACGTGGAGATGCATATGAAGCAAAGGAGCCTCACTGAAATTCTCCATGTTGAAAAAATGGCACCCACTGACATTCACTGACTCTGGTGGAATGTTTAAGGAGACCAAACTGTGGGTGTGAGGCAGTGGGAGGTGTGTTTTACCAGCAATGACCAAGACAGTGGACAACTTTTACAAGCACAGCATGCAGGCTCTTCTTCATGGCTGGTGAAAATGCATAGTGAAGGTGATGACTGTGTTAAACAACGATGTTTTATAGCTGAGAATTTGCTCAAACTGTGTTATTGTGCTCTTTGTGCTCATTACTTTAGGAGCAACCTATGTATAATTTTTAATTAGAAAAATGATGGAAAATGAAGGACCTCTTATTGAGGTCATATCATATGTAATCACACATGTACACATAACCGACTTCTTTTATTTACTACTGAGAAAGAAGAATAGTGCAAACTTTCTAATAATCTGTTAAGAATACTGATTGTCTTCAGAAAGTTTCCTGCACATTTTTGTATTTGCTACATAATACTATTAGATCAGAGTATTAGAGAGATTTGTGGATATATTCTATCTCAAATCATGCAATAAGGTTAGCATCTTCTTGTTGTTGTTTTTGTTTTGTTTTGTTTTTTAAGGTATCAGACGGGATTTCATTATTCACTGAAAACAGGAGTTGATTATAATAACTGTACTGCATGGCTGATAATTTCTAAGTGGCAGCGGCAGCCAGTATCACCAGAGCCTCAATACAAAATTCCAGTTGTCAAAATCAGGGGGAAGAAATAATAGAATGGCTACTGAAACAGCACAGCAGCCTAAAGAAATACAGCTCAATTTCTTGATGTTAGTCTGTTTTTGATCAAAATATTTATCATAGAATTATCAGAGAACTGTTTGAGTTGGAACAGATCTTTAAAGGTCATCTAGTCCAACACACCTACAGCGAGGCAGGTTGCTCAGAGCCTGGTCCAGCCTGACCTCAAACATCTCCAGGGACAGGCACCTACCACCTCTCTCAGCAACACATTGCAGTGCTTCGCCACACTTATTCTAAAAAACCTTTTCCTTACCTCCAATCTAAATCTCCCCTCTTTCAGTTTGAAACCATTTCCCCTTTATCACAACAGACCCTGCCGAAGAGTTCATCCTCAGCTTTTTTACACCCCACTTTAGGTTCCTATTGGAATTTGACTGTTCCTTTAGAATGCGTTCAAGTTATTGAAACTTTTGTGAAATCACTGGTCTTTATAATGATTACTTGCAATATCTGTGATCATTCCAAGCATAATTTTACTTTCTGGATTTTAAATAATATTTCTTATGGTTATCAGTATGTTTAAAGCTGGCACAGTTTGCATTTTTACACTGCTTCAACAAAACTAAGCTCTGATGACTATACACTAATGCAGTAGAAACTTACAGGGTTGAATTCTTCTCTTCTATGTAAATGGCATTTGTCTGAAAGGAGTTACAGGAGTCCTGAATTGACTCAGTGCATTTATAATGATTACTTTAATTAGTTGTAGCAAATCTTTTTAGAGCAGCTTTCTGTTACTAAGGATGGCCACATGATCATTGGAGAGATATCACACTATATAGAATATGCCCATTAATCTGCAGCAGAAGAGTTGGTTCTTTTGTTGGGGATTATACTGCATTAATGATAAATTTAGTAGGAAGATTCAGTCTTAAAGCTTCTCATGGAAAATGAGAACAAAGCAAGCTGGTATTTCAACAGCCATCTGTCAGTTGGCATGTCAACAGTATTTTTATATAGGTGAGATTTCACACTGAAGCCTTCCAATAGCATTTCTTACCAGGGCTGTATTATGGTGGATGCATTTTGAAAATGTATGCAGTTAAAGCTGTTTCTCAGTTCTCAGCTACACTGAAGATTACCTGGAAACACACGTTCTAATGAACGTTGCTTTCTAAAACTTACTGATAGAAGGGTAACAACCTTAACAATACAAATTTTTGATGTCCATGAAAGTCAAATATGATGTGAAACGTTTGACAAGAGGTTTAACACCATTTAATGCCTTAATTCAGAATAGTATGCATCGGTGTTATAAGCCAAGCTGTGAATAGTCACAACCTGTCACAGTTTATTATAAGAAAGCTATTAAAGCTCCAAGAAAGTATTGTACACGAAGTGATGTAAGAATGCACTACTGAGCATGCAAACCACCTTAAAGCACGAGATGCTGAGTTCATTGCTTCGTTAACTGGGTAACAGCTTAAATGTCAGCATGAGGTTATTTCATTCCTAATTATTTTTTCCAAAAAACATAAGGAGGCTAATGTATGTTTATTATATTGCGATAGAGGGCTGCAGATGACTTTGGAGCCACAGTGGCATTATGCATTTAGCCTTATTCTCCAACCATCCGAAAAACACAGAGATCACATTAGATTGTGCTTCCTCTTGATTATGAAACCTGTTATTACTTTTGCTGATGGGAGAGAATTCTAGCAGTGGGGTTTAAAAAGTACAATACCCCTAAGGGTTTATCTAAATAATCTACCTTTCCACACTACTCTAAGAGAAATATTAAAGGTGTGTATTAAAGAAATACGCTTTCCTGAAAACTAAGGGAAATGTAATTTGAAAGTCTGCTTTGTGAGAATCGGATCAGTTCAAATTACAAGTATCTTGTAAAAACTACAGAACTTAGTAGCTTTTCAGTACCTTTCAGATTTTTGACTTGGAGCTGCTGTTACAGTGGGTCCCTTCAGCACTGCTATGGTAACAAATAGCTTGAACAGCGCTTCAGGGAGGACTGAATCAGTTCAAGCTTTGTACCTGCTCTCCCTTTACTCTTCCTGTATTGACACATGTATGTAAGGTTACAGGACAGGTGTCCGGGTGGAGGAGATAAGGAGTTCTCACTGGCCACTATCTCTACTGAGGTGACTGCCTGTAAGAACAACACTTTTTAGTTTGATGATAAAGTGTATTCTATATATCAAATGGGATTTATTAGGAATGCCAGCTGACAGCTTTAAATGTACAATAAATCATGTAAACTCACTGAGAATATAGGAACAACTATTAAATGCAAGCATGATTATTTTTAGAGACTATGTCAGGAATTAAATTATATCGAGCAATGGTAACATCATCACCATCTATATAGAATTGAGCCCTTCTGCTTCTGTAGTTATTACAGCCTCATGATATTTAGGCACTGCTTACTCTGAGTGTCCTATGCTATTTAATCTCTGTACATTTCATCCATTAATCATGAATTCTAGGGCGTCAATCCTCATTCTCCTTCCCCTCCAGAATTCTTCTTGTGTCTTTAAAAAAGCCTGAGCACCAGCCAAATACAAAGCCCCCCACCCTTCTTATAAGAGCAGAACCCACAGAAGTTATTTTCATGTCGTTAGGCCTTTCTAAAAGACCTAAGGTTATGGTATAACTACAAAAGCACTTTGTGTCACACTGATACATTTTATTACTTCAGTTCTTTTTAATGTGCCATCATCTTTCTAGAACTAATGTATAAATACCGCATCTATCCCACAAGTACTGAACTACCATCAACACTGAAGGTTTCTTTGAGTTTCCCAAGTCCCAAATTCCTTAGCAATTGCACATATGAACTTAAACAATGAGAAATACAGAATACTTTCAGTTAAGCAATCAATTAACGATTATGTCATCTGAGAAATTGCTCAAGATTAATTTGAAATTATGAAATGCAGTTTACTTTGCAGGAATGCGTAAATAACAATACCAATGTCAGTGGAACAAAGTATTCTGCTCACTAAAATACTAACCTTTATTTACACAGCTTTCTATCAAATATATTACTAAAGAACTGGTGGTATGTAAACAACGGTACATGCAAAATTATCCCTTTTACTATGAAAAATTAATGTACACTTCTGTTAAATAAAGACCAAATGCTATTATATACAGGCTTTTTTTGTTTTTGTTTTAGTTTTTTTCTGGAAGGCCTTAAGAGACATTCAGGTCTATTTTTAATATGTTCCAAATAAATACCAAATAATGCAACATTTACAAATAGCACACCAGCAGTATTTTCCATAGTAATCATTTTACAAATCAGAATTTAGTATTTCAATTAAGCAAACGAATAGCAGCTCCTCCATAAATATTAAGGCATGTCACATAGCATCAAAATGGAACCGATGAGCTTCCTGTCGCTTCTCTCTGTCATCTGCTTTCTGAAAAATAAAATAAAAGCAGTTTGTGGGACTCAGAGCAATGCTGTTACAGAAACGCGTTGTCAAATGTCAGAGAATGGTTCATTTTTTTTCCAAGCCATTCATCTGACAAAAGGCAAAAAGCTTAGTAAAACCTCAATAATTAGCTTTCAAATGATGTCAGTTTGTAATAGCAATAATCGACTCAAAATTGGCTTCTGCTGTTAATACTCAGCTGTTTTAGCATTTATGACCCATTATTTTCTCTTGTTCTGATAATGCTTTCATGAAAGGAATATTTCAAAACCGAAGGACGGTTCCTGGTGCATACGTATTTAGCCTAATACGAGATAAAATCACTTTGGATTAAGTGTAAATGTTGTCATCTACATTACACTTAAAATTAGATTTTTTAAATTGAAAAGTTAAATACAAATTCAGACAAAGACAGCAGTCCAACTAACAATTAACAGCACCGAGTAGGCTAAAAAAAGAGGACTGTTCCATGTTTTTGTGTTCAGAAAATGTGAGGGGATGTATTTCCCCACTTAATGATGTGGAACACACATTGATCTGCTGAAAGAGCAGCTTGGATTGTACTTGGAGAAGAGACGCACAGTGAAACTGCACCTAGAACCCATGGAAGGTGCTATAGCACATTCTCTCCCCCCTGCCTCCCTTGTGTTTGAAAGCAGTGACAGAAGAGGAGAGCTCCTCTCTCAGGAGCTTGGAGTGCACAGCAAACCTTTTGAGCAACCGGTGTTTTTCTCATGACAGACAATCCCTATCAATCCCAGTATAAGAAAATGCAGCAAAACAAATGTAAATGCTTTTTTTGGTGAATGAGTAAAATGAAGATAAGCCTTTACAGTATGCTGTTGTGTGGGCATTCAGATTTGTACCCAAGTTGATACATATACATGATGATTTTGGTAGAAATCAGTGCATGTGTTCTGCCATTAAAGTTCGTCATCTGCTCTGGCTCAAGGCCAGAGATTTCCTCATCACACACTGTTTATGTATGACAGTGATTCCAGTGGGCTAACTATGGATTTTACTGCGTTCTGTGGCAGCAGTCGAGCTGTCATCTAACTGTTGGATTTTATGGCATTTTGTGGCAGCAGCATGGCTGTCAGTGAGGTTTAAGGTACATCTGCCTGGCTTTTTGGCAGGGTCTTTATCAATGCCAGTAGTATTCTGAATGTCAAAAATGGGGTGGGAAAAGGGGAGTGGCATACTTTGCTAAATTAAAATGCTTGTCACATTCCACAGTGCTATGCAGGCTCACTTAGAAAGCAATTTTCACTCCATTTCTTGTCTGCTTCATGAAAAAAATACGACTTCAAAATTTGTCGGTAACTGATATTGTGATGAACTCATCAAAACTTCCCTAGCAAGGATTATCATCAATGCCTGGTGTTCACCTGACTAGTCCCAAGTTCACAAAGCAAATTAAAAAGAATCAAAATACAGGAAATGTGGCAGACTATATTGTTATAAGATGAAATAACAGCTTCAATTCTTCCTCAGCTTCTCTTTTATCTGATGTATCAAAAGTAAACACTAATAACTCAAAGCCATTCATTTTTTTGTAATGGATCAAAAATGTCTAAGGAATGCCAGAGCAACATAGTATCCCCAAATACTACAGTTATTTAAACAGCACAGTAACGGCTGGCAGCTGAATGCCTAAGAACTATTGCAGACAAAGGACTTCTGCTGCTCCTTATCTGCAGAGGTCAAAGTACATGCTTTCTTTTAACTGCTGAGTAAAGCACGGCAGCTTACATACAGATACATCCTCTGGGGAAAAAGGAGAGATTGCAGCTGCCAGTGCATTTCCCCTTTCTTTCTTTGTGATAGGTACTCTAGAAGTCTGCAGGGAAAACAGCATTGAGGCAGAACAGTATTCTCATGAAAGGATTACTGGAAGAGGCAGAAAACAGCCCCAGTCATGCCACTGGCTCACAATACTGCCTTGGTCAGGACTTTCACTTGTTCTGTACCTCGACCACTTTTTTCTAAAACTGGGAAGGTAAAAATCAATGGGAAGGGCATTTGAAAATTAAAGGAATTAACAACTGCTTACACAGTGATCTAAAAATACACAATTTAACCAAATATGTGTGCCTATTTTGTGCAAGGTGCAGGCTGTTGCAAAGGAGTTTAACACATGGCCAACACCGCTTTATTCACACGCGCTTAATGAAGGGGGCTTGAAATGGCTCAGAAAGCACCCACTCCAGGTTGAGTGCTTCTTTGTATTGCAATAAAGAAATTATTGTTAGCAAAGAAAGCTTTAAACATTGTTGTTGAACCTCAGTTTCTCCAGATGGAATTATACATAGTCCTTCACAACACAGAGACCAAACATTTTGTTTTACTCCTGTTGCTTTAGACATATTGGAGACAGAGTTAAACCCAGGCAGTGACAGTCCAAGCTATCACTTAGTAATGCTTTCCTGGTACATTAGGACACGTTAAGGGCAGTCATCACAACATTTGTATTTCCTTGCTGTGTGTGCTGCATTCCCAGCATCACTGTGATTTGGAGACCATATTTAACATTGTGAAGAGTGGAGAATGGCAGACAAGTAACATTTAAATACGAAGCATGCGCAAAGCCTATCTGAATGTTTAACAAGGTCATTTTATTTCCACAAGCACAAAATAACAAACAGTTCTACCATGTCAAAATGTGCAGTAATTTTATTTGACAGCTAAGATTATGGTTTGGGTATGCAGTAGCATTTATTGGCAATCCTGCCAGTTGGATATGATTGCGAACTGCATAGTTAAGAAAAATGGGAATGCATTTCTTTTGTGACATGAAAGGCCCCTTTCAAAATGCTTCTTCAAATCAATAGATTTCTATACACTGCATGTATAATTCAGACACATAGAGCAAAGCAGCCAATATGCACACAATTGTCTCCCTATACACTCTTGAATGCTAATGTGAATGCAATCAGCAAAGATAGTTACAGAAAAAAGAAATGTTTTTCCTCTTTTTTAGATTACCAGCAACTCAAACTAAGTAAATTGAATTTATGTTCCCTTTCTCTAATATTGTACTTCTAAAAACTGCAACGTAGAAAGCTTAGATATGAACCAAAAACTTCTCATTTTGTTGGCAATAACAGTTTAATGGCAAAAGCTTATCAATCCTTTCTTCATTTCCCTTTTCAAGTGCCTTCAAGCTTAAGTAGAAACAATGCCAATTTTTAAGCTTGCAATAAATACCAAATTAATGACAAATCCACACCTTTAGGGAATTAATGCAGTCTGTATCAGAAATTATATAAAGCTGCTCAAAGATGTACAAGCCTGTAAGATATAAGGAAATGTTAAATAGCATAGAAAATACAGAAGAATACAGCTAATTAAACTTACCTTTTCTTGCCAGTGTAATATGCCAATTATTGCCAGGATAAAAACACAGACACCAATTAAGGCTATAGCTGTTAGCAGCACTATGTTACTCGGGGTCAGATACAGCTTGGCACTCCAGCTGCACAAAAGAGGAAAATCCAAGGAAATATTAATACCCTTAATTAGGAAGTAGAAAACATTTCGCTTACGAGGATCAAAATAACTTGCTAGTATTGAGATAAGTAGCAGCCTGGTCTATAAAAACCCAGTGGCTGTACTTGGAGACTGGAGCTTAATGGTGTTTACTTGGAAATGCATAACAATTATTTTCAAGCACTGCCATTGAAATTGAGCTTATTTATCCAGGAATGCTATGAGCATCCTCAGAGACTGACTTTTATACTAGTTGTAGGCAGCAGAACCAGTTGGCTATGGCAGAAAAATACTGGAAAGCAACGAAACAAGGCACTTGAAGGACTTCTGGAAGGCATCCCTAGAATGTTGTGGGGTTCCAAGGCTCAGTAACACTCTTTTTATCCTTCAGACTTCTTGTCATGGGAAAGCTATCAGCATGATCCTTTATACTGAGGCAGTACCAAGTCCTCACAGGAAACTGCGTATTTATATTAAAAGGAATTATAAATTAAGAAGTGTTTTTTAGGAAATCTTAATTCTTTTGGAATTCTATTCACCACAGTTCAGTGGCCATAAACTTGCTCTCTAAAAAAGCAGAAATAGCTTATGGATGACTGAGAAAATTCTTCATAATGCATACCTTTAAATACCTTAACACTGCAACTAAATGTTCTCCATCTGCCAGATGTTATTCCTGTGGTTGTTAATTAGTAACTCAAGTGGCACATCACTTCTCAACTGTTATTAGTTCTGTAGTACTCTGTAAAATTAGCTGCTGAAACTGATGTCAGAATCATTCCTGCATGATAAACGCAGCTGACCTCACTAGTAGATCAAGCGGCAAAACGCAGCTGTAATGCGACCAATGTTTTCTCTAACAGCAACGACAGAAATGTGCTTGATTTCTGAGACAAACATTTTAATTTCCAAATGAATTCAATGTTGAAAAGCTTATATAAGTAACCCCTTCACCTTTACTTAAGGGAAAATATTCATACCTGTGGCAATAGATAGCGTGATCAGAAGGGCTAAACTGAAGCTTTTATGTACAACTAGGCAGAAATTGCATGTTTGGTGAAACCAAAATGCTTGCTTCAATCATTACCATGCTTACAATTTGTAAAAAAAAAAAAAAAAAAAAAAAAAAAAAAAAAAAAGCTGGTAAACCCAGCAAATATGTTATTATTTACAGGAGTTCAGCTGGTAATAGATTTCGATTGCTTATGGTTACTACATAAAATTGTATGTAAATACTCAAAAATATTCTGTCCAGTCATAGTGGCAACAACAGTACCAGAACTGAGTCCCTCTCCTTCATTGCTTTTAGACCCACTTTCTATACAACTTAAAAGAAAAAAGGAGAAGAAAAAAGAACACAGATTTTAAATTAGGCATTATGTAATTTTGTGATGTGCAATTCAGAATAAAAAAGTTACCTTCGAGGAACATTATGAGGATATGGGATGACTATAAGCTGGGAGTTTGGTATGATAGCTGTCCATTCTTGTTTCCTTATGGACTGAAAGTAAAACAAAGGCTATGTCAATTCCTACCAAGTCATCATACTTAAAAGCGAAGTCTTTTCTCTGTCGAAATGTGGAAAAGGAAAAAAGAAAACCTCAGAAGTGATTGCTTTTTTTTTTTAAGTGACTTTTTCCCTTATGTTTATGTAAGTCTTTCATTCTGAAAGCTCCAAAGCACTTTAAAAACAACAAAGTCTAAAGCAAGAGAAGTGCTGTTGACATGAAACACAGTATCTGCTCAAAACGCAGATACAACGCAACAACATAACAGCCAAGGAAAAAAAGAACCAGTTTTACAAAGGAATTTTACCAATTATCTAAACCAGAACATCATGGGTACACTGATACAAGTACCTCATTTTTTAAAGCAATATAATCAGATTTTTTTAAGGACTCTGGACGGTCAGGAGCCTTTAATGTTTCACCTCAAGATTAGACGATGCAGTAACCTCTACCTCCTGTCATATTGATCATGGTGCCATCACTGAGCTAGAAAGGATTGTGTGAGTTTACAGACCAGCCAGAGCAGCCCCAGGGAAATCTTACAGCTGAGACCATAATAATTGGACCACCAGGTCTAATACACATTTATCATTTAAACAAGCACCACACGACTAATGCTTATGCACAGCTTCAGTTATCTTTTAGTTTCATTGTTGGCATTGGAGCTTACACCCACCTTAAAAACCACATGTGCAAGGTATCAGTGTATTTTTTTTGGCAAACCCTTTTCTGTATTCAAATTTACCTTGATATTCATACTTATGAAATAAGTGTCATTAGCAATTTTTGTATTCATTTTCTCTATTATGAAAGATAATACCAGAAATATTAGCTTGAGAATCATGAATTTCAGCTCACCTTTTCTCCTAAAGGACGAGGAATTCCAACATACAAATGGTCAAGGAAGTTAGCACTACGTCCCAAGCCCAGAACATTGTATGGCAACTGGAGAGCAAAATGTGCTGACTGGCTCAGCTGTCCAGCTGAAATGAAATTAGAAAATAAGAAATAAGCTTTTGGAGAAAACCCTTCTATGCAAGCACGTTTCAGGGGCAATTATAGAAGTGTGATTTTTAAAATTTTTAATGTCTCAGTCCCACATTTCCCAACTGTTAATGGGCACTTAATTGTAATGTTTCTTAAATACTTCAGATTTCTAGGTAAAAGAGAATTCTTTCAAGCACCTTTTATGTGTCAAACTGCTATTTGTTACAAGTTGAGGTGAAATGAGTTATTCATATTTATTTAGGCATGGCTGGCAGCGAGTCTCCCCATTTACTGCTCCACTCAAAAGCCCAGGCTCACCATGAGAAGGCTCACTTTAACTCTTGCTAATAGTAATCAGCAATTAATGTTTTTTCTTGTGTCACACAGTCAGCTGAGAAAATGCTCACAAACAAATTCTCACATCATAATTTGGTTTAATGACGATGGGATAACAGCTGTTGCAAGTTACATCCTATCCAGGGCACGTAATAATAAAGAACTGAATGAGAGACTAGATGGTAAAAATAACATTGTTTCCCTCCAGAAAGGACAGTAGGAAAACAGAAGCATGCAGTTATCTACAAATTCACTAACGTGCCATTCCAAGGTGGCCAATTACTCCATTTAAATAAAACCTTGTAATCTTAATGTCCAGCAAACTGATCCAGATCCTTTGTGGACTCTTTGTTCACTCCCTAGAAGGCTTCTCAGCAAGTGGTCTGATGCCACAGCATGATATCAGCATCTCAGAAACCACAGTGAATTCAGCCCTTCACAGACTGAGAAGTTTAAAGCACGCTCCAGCACTGCAAACCAAATGACGTGCTCAATAGACACAGCTTTTGTTGTTTTTAAATATGACAGCAGTGTCAGGACTTTTTTAATGTCACGTTTTTCTCATTAACTTTGGCTTTGTTTTAAAAACGAACAAAATATCGAATACTCTTTCACGCTGTAACACAACAAAGGATTTTCTTTAAAAAGCTGTCTCAGTAATGCTGATTTCTGAAGGACTTCTCCCAAAAGAACAAGGTGTGATACTTCATATTGAAAGGTTTTTCAAATGACTTTTGAGTGAAATACTTAGGATTATAAGGAGACTGTAACTTAGGTCTTCCTTTTTTTTTTTTTTCATTATACAAATGAAATGAATGTCAACTAAATTAAAGGAAATAAAGGAAAATGTCATACAGTGTGTGCAGTCAGCCTTTAAAGAGTTCAGAGAGTTAGATACTGCATTAGAATTCTTAAAAGCACTGAATAATTTCATGGCCTCTAATACTGATTCTTATGCCTACTTGGATAAGGATGATGAAATCTTATGCTTCAAGATGTAAGTAAATCATATGCAAAGGTCAGAAAGAAACGCTTCCTACTACACAGTACAAATGCTTTTATTTAACCTGCCTTAAAATGAAGAGAAATTAGCTAAGCAGGACTTGGGAGGATGGCAAGTAAAAGGTTCTAGTTTATTTTAAAGTGGACTGACTATAAATATGGGAGATCACTGAAATGGTTTCTTGCTTTATTCCACTTGCATCTATCAATTCCTATGAAGGTTTGGTAGTTACTGTAAGTGCTCCAGTTAGAACTGCAAAAAGTAATAAAAAGGACAAATGTTTATCTGAGAAGCATAAAAACCTCGAGCAACAATTAAAAATAAAAAATGACAGACTACTGTTAGCAATTTATTGCTTAATTTATTTTTACGTTTAATTAGTAGTCATCTGAAGTTTGCAGTTACCAATAATTCATTTACTTATGAAAATATTTCAAATTTAATTTAAACTGCAACTCCAATATTTGCTATGTTGTAAAATTATTGTGGGCAGATTTCTACTTATACCAAGAAAATCTGAAAATACCATTCAATCTTCAGTAGAAGCGTGAGATTTACTGCTTACATTAAGATTGTTCTTTAAGCTTTCTGAAGTGTAAGCAAGCAAGATGGAGAAAGGAGTTGTTGCTTCACAGTTTTCTTTACTTGACCAATAAAACTGGTACCATAAACAAGACTTTTATAAAAAAAAAAAGACACAAAGCAGCCTTCACCTGTACATGCTGTGTATCAATTCTCCTTTAAAGACTTCAACACTTAAGTTTTCTTATTAACAGCGCACACAGTCTTTTCTTGCAGATGTTTTTTTTTTTAAAAAAAAAAGCTATCTGGAAGCACTCAGTTATATCATGTGCTATGAACTCAGAATATGGTGTTGTCATAAATGTTTTGGTTTTAAATTGAAAGTCAGTAAGTTCATTGCTTCAAAAAGCTTAGAGTAAGAAAACACCATTTTCAGATACGGTTTTCAGTCGTTTCAGCCTGTCAGTCTGAATTTTTATGAAAAAGTTCATGATGTTAGGCAGCCAAACCTCACAAAATTCTTGCAGTTTGATGTTGAAAAATTGCTCTGATCATCTCCATATCTATCTCCTTATTTTCAAAGTCTGGCATATAAAATTTGAAACAATCCATACCATTAACCTTTTGAAAGCCTTGTCTGAACACTGAATTATGTGTTGTCTATAACACATACAGAACTTGTTCTGTTATATCTGAATGAAGACGTATTCCTTCTATTTCCATTATGCTGACATAAACTTACTGAATGTCCTCAACAGCTTACTTCAGGGTGACTTCACCTAAGCAGCATAACTGCTAAAATGAAACCAATTGAACTTTATTAATGGAAGGTGATTGCATTTACATGTAGATGCAATGCTATTTTTTTTTTTAAACAGAACTGATTATGTGTGAACCAGGACATCTGAACCAGCTTAGTGAACCTACACAGCTAGGTGCACAATGCTGATGTTTTTCAATCAGTTTAAACAAATTTTGAGGAAATACAGAGCAGAATATATGAGAGTGCTACAAAAAACTGCCAACTAATGGAAGCCTCCATTTCAGACCTGCAGTCTTTCTCTCTTTTTTAATTATTAAACTTTAATTACAAAGCTTCACTTGCAGATCCAAATTATTAAAGCCATTCAGATTAATTTAAAATACAGTAAAAATATTTAGGCTTTCAAAAGCCCCCCAGATTTGATCTATGAGAGGACTGAATAGCCAAATATATTTTCATACAAGAAAATATTACACTGTTTCTTCCTGTTGCTATGTTTTCCTCTAATTGGAGAAATGAGGCATTTGTCAAACGCTGTTATATATGTATGTACATAAATAATATAAATAGTATTTGTGATGTATTAACTTGTTAAAAAAAATCCCAACCATGCACGTCTTACAAAACTGTAACAAAGAGTTGCTTAGTTTCAGGCATACATTCTTTTTACCCCTTAAAAATTTAGGTGGCTTTTCTGGTAAAAAACAAAAACAAAAACCAAAAAACAAACAAAAAAACCCCAAAAAAACAAAAAACAAAACAAAAAACCCCCAACCAAACACTTTATTGCAGCAAACATCTTTTCTGACAGAGCTGGAAAGCTTTCAAAGAGTTGGAAAACTGAATTTCCTCAGCTCTCATTGAAAGCTTTAGTTTTGTTCCCTTATGACTGCCTTTGGAGTTACAGCCTACTGATGAGAGAACAAAGAAATACAGTGGAGTAAGAGCTCCGTTTTTGGTAGTGATACGCAGAATGGCAACCTGAGCTTCTGAAGCGCTGAGGATATTTCCTTCTTGTGACTTGGGTGTTTGCTAAGGAAATCCTAGATAAGCACAGCACAACTTTATCTCTTGCCTTTTTCTACAATATTTTTTTTCCTGGAGTTCCAGGGAAAGCATGGAAGTGGACTGAATTTGTGTAATTGCAACATAGATGCCTTCAGTGCTGCTAACATCTGCGATACTTCTGCCAGCCCATGCACCAATGATCCAATTATACTGGAACACGTCTTCAATAATAACAAATTTCACCACAAAATTACAGAGTAAAGGCAGAATAACCAACCTTTTAAGAAAAGCAAAAATGATATGACCATATTTTTGATATTCAAACCCTTTGCACAGGTAAAGTTGTCTTTTTATAATGCCTGAATATTTAAAGTTTGATAGTACTGCATGCAATATTAAGAGTTCAAGAAAGGCTTCTATACAAAAAGTTACATAGAAAAACATGCTACAGTCACCTCCACCTGTAGCAACCAAAATATCTCCTAACAGAATTCAGATATTCAATTATTAAATGACTCAAGGTTCTTCCATCTATACCATTTTCTATATAGTAGAATTCTACATAATGAATTCTACAATGTCAAGTATCTACTGATATAAAGCTTTGTTTGCTTTTATCTGGGATATTCCTCAATGTTTACACTGTAATTGACTACTATGAAAACTGCTAGTCATGCTGTTTAACTAAATTGGATGTGAGGTGAACACACATGAGAACATAATGCAACAACAAAGAGTAAACAGATTTCACAAAGCCAGAAAGGCAGGACTTATCCAGGACTTATCCTTCCTTCTGTCATGGGAAGCTTAAAACAAAACCAGAGCTCTAAAATGAGATGCAGTATTTTATCAGAGCACAGAACTTCAGGCAGCTGCTTAAGCAAATTACAACTTGATCCATATAAGCAACCCAGCGAAGGTGTTCACGGGATAATATAACGGATAGTCATGAATATTCATCTATGAGTAAACACAAAAAATTTACTGTTCTGTGGCTCTTGGCCGCAGTCATAAAATTTTTGGTAGATACAAACTGCAACAATAACCCATAGTAAGTATAAAATCAGATATACATCTATTTTAACTTTGAGAAAATTAAGAAGTCCATAGCAGAAGCTGCAGACAAAACACAAGTACGTATCAACTTGACGCTCCTGCCGTGTTTGGTACTTGCTACATACATCAAAAAACATCTCAAAAAGCTTTTCATAACAGGCCCTCTCTGCCAGAGGTGCCCTTATCACAAAAATATCTACAGAGAGCTCTATTTTCCCTCAGCTGTCTGCCTAGTCAGCATGCCAAGGAGTCAGCCAAGTCCTGCTCAGGTTATGGACGTGCAGAGCTGCCAGTCCTATCTGTCAGTG